GGTGTAGGCAGTGGGTGCTGTTACGCAAAAACCGCGATAGAGTGAAGCCGCGGAAGTCGAAGCGCGAAGTGGCGAGGGTTCACTGTATATTAATATATTTAACATATATACATGCCTATACCTCTATAAATTGTTTTTTGTTCTCTAGTTCTTTTCTCTATTTTGCTTTCCTCCTGTCCCACTATCATTCAACCTTCATTCCAGCTCTCAGTAATTCCTCTCGGCTACATTGCACTTGATCAAACCCCACCAGACATTTTATACCCTCCTCGCCATCGATTTTAGATCCCTGTTCACTTCTCTCTGGATTTTTTTTACTCCTCCCTGTCTTCCCCCCCACCTCCCCCTCTCCCCTGTTCCCCTGGAACTGTCAGTCCCATTGTTTTATCCTCAGTGTTATTTATCTTGCCTGTCTTCTATAAGTAGACATCTCTTTTGACTCATTTTTAACTTGCTCTAGATTTTATTCTCTCAGAGAGAGGTGTTTCTGTTGTCAATTTTGTTTATTTGTATGATTTCTTTGTATGAAATCCAGGGTAGGTAAACTTACAGGAAGAGCAACTGCATTAACAGTAGCTTGCGGTTATGACAGGGAAGGTTTCAAGGAGAGGAGAAGCTAACAATGATAGACGCAAGAATGAAGAAGGTGTTCCAACATGAATTGTGGTGGTGATTGCACAACTCTTTTTTGATGTCGTTAAGCAATTGAATTGTATGATATGTGAGTGCTAGGTCAGTAAAACAGTTTACAATATTTTTGCAGCCTCAAAACCTGGAAAGCAGTTCTGTGCTGCCCCAAATGGTCACTATGAGTTGGGATTAACTTGATTGGAGTAGATTGTTGTTGATGATGTTATTGGCTACAAGGATGTCAAGGCTTGAAGGGGTAAGGTAGGGTTAGCAGTTGACTGTTAGCTAAAAGTTTGTGGACACATACCCAGAGAGCACCTTGAAATCCTGATAACCTGCATCAATGAGGTCACAGGTTTGAAAGCCCTACAGAGCAGTTTGCCTGCACACACGGTTCACCACTAGCTGGAATCTATTCCACATCAGCTAACAATGTAGGGAAATCAAACAAGGTTGCAACTTGTTAAGTCAAAGGCAGAATCTTAGCTGCTGGAATATAGAGGGCTTTCTTCAGGGTACCAGCATCCACTCTTGCTGCCTAGTTCTTCAAGAACCATTCACTTCTTTGTACAGGATTGGGGAAGTTGACTATTTTTATAAAAGAAATTCAACTTGATGTCTTAACCCCTGTTCCCTGGGTCGAAACATGTCCATGAATTGAGAGCCTGTCCGGGTTCTGACATACAGATCTCCCTCTTGCTGTGTCCTGTTTCACACTTGCTAAAAGCTATGACTTGCTCTGTCCAGCTTCCCATGGATTTGTTACGTTCTCTCCATGGAATGCTTCTCTTTTCTTGATTGTGGAATCTGTTGTCATATTCTTTAACTTAATTTTTAGTATCATGGAAATGAGATAAATTTATGCATGTATAAATGCAATTTTTAAAGTGGTGGGAAAGTGGAATTAAAACCTAAATATAAAATATATAAAACTTTATTTCTGGACATGAACCCCATCTGAGATAATTTTGTAAGTGATGATACCAACCGTTTAGTCCATCCCTTAAAGACCTTGGAGTCCGTGTTAGTGATGTCTTTTACAGTATTAACTGGGAAAAAAATAGGCACCCTTTAAAGATGTCTTAAGATAAGGAAACAAGTCAGAAGGAGCCAAGGTAGGACTGTAAAGTGATGCCTAATGGTTTCCCATCGAAATGTTCATCGCATGGCCTTTGTTTAGTGAGAAGAATGAGCAGGAACATTTCTGGGGAACAGGGAGCCGGACTCTGGTGAAGCTTCTCCAGGTGCTTTTCCATAGGATAGCAGTGGTTTATAAATGCAAAGCAGTTAAAAGGAAGGGTTGTCTTTAAAAAGAAGCATCTTAGCCCTAAAGTAGGAGGAAGAGAAATAATTGGAGCCTTTTGAAGCAAAGGTAAAAGAGATATAAAGGCTGTATGTCATTTGAGTGAATTAGTGCTGAGGCTTTGGGAGTACTCAGTGAACTAACACCAGTTGCCTGGTGTTAGGACTTCAGAGCAGATTTACAGAAAAAGAAACCTGAGTAAAAGCCAATAAAAAACACTGTTGTTTTTGTAGTAACGTTGTAGATTTTGAGGCCTTTCCCTGAGAGCAAGTGTCTTGTTTTGTATTTTTGTTGTTTTCTAGCTTTAATGCTAAATAAACTATGTTATTAGTTTTTTTATTGCTTTCCAATTCAAGTCAGATTTTCAATGGAAAATGTGTGTGTAAGGTAGATAACTCTTGGGGTTCAAATTTGAGCAAGGTGCAAAAAGTGACCCTAAAGGAAGGACCAGGTAGAACTGTCCCTGTGGGTTTCCAATTGTGAAACGCTTTATGGGAGTAGAAAGCTCCCTCAGAGCAGCTGGTGGTTTCCAAAAAGTAATGTGGGGAAAAAAACCCTGTCTTTTCATTCTGTTTTCTGTGAACTCTTGAATTAACCTGAGAGAGACACATACGCACACACAACATTTGGCTGCTTCATATCTTCACATCAACTTCTCAGTATGTCTTTCCTACTCTCCTTATCTAAAAGGTCACTTTCTTCAACAGGTAATAGTCTTTTCTTCATTATTTTTGTGTTAGAATTTCCCACTGTCTAACTTAACTGTATTATACTAACATGTCTTTTTATCTCTCTTTTCCGCTAGATCATAATAAGTATTTGTGGACAAAGATGTTTGTCTGTTTCATATACTACTGTGTCTGTGGATCCAAAAACAATGCCTGGAAAATAATAGGCAGTCTGTACATGTTTGGTGAACGAATGTGTAGTAACCATAGTCATTAATGTGGCTCTAGAATACGCTTATTGTTTCCAGGTAAAATTGCACTGTTAGGTTCATTTGTAATTCACCTAGCATCATGAATTTGCATCAGAAGTGGAGACATAATAAATCTGTTTTTTTAAAAATGGAACTCTATATATTGGTAAATAATCTTTTAAAAAAAGTTTTAATGACATATAATTTACATATCACATATCACACAATTTAATAGTTCACTTATATTAAGAGTTATGCATACCTCACCACAATCAATTTTAGAATATTTTCTTCTCTCTCATACTTATTGCTGTTAGCGCTCTATCTCCTCCCCATCTTCCCAGCCATTTCCCTAGGTAATTGTTAATCCGATTATTGTCTGTCTAGATACGCCTATCATGGATTTCATATACAGAAAATCGTACAAAACACAGAGGATGACAAAACAAAAAATTCATTCGAAAAGAAAGAAAATACTAACAGCTAAAACAACTTTAAAATGGTCCAAAAGTGAAATCAGATGATAAAGTGCTACATTTAACCTAACTACATCTTCCACAATTGACTTTACAGTATTCTCTGTCTGATAAAAAGGCTGTTCATATCCTTGGATTTTAGGTATGGTTAGAGGGGATTCAACGTAGGCGTAATCCATGTGGGGCCCTGCAAACGCATTTTGGACTTCTGCTGTCATCCATAGTCTTCTCCAAACCAGGTGTTCAGAATGTAAGCTCTGATAGCATTCTCTTCCTTGAAGTTGGTTTTTATTATTTACAATCCTTGCTAATGTGCTTCTTCTGTTGGATTTAGTTGATGCCTCGCTTAGATGGCTGCTTGTTTGGACCTCAGACACCTTTTAGGACTCAGACACAATTCTTTCTGATATCTGGCTACCAGTTTATTCACATTTTGCTAATAGCACCCATAGGTTCAGTGTCTCTTCAGAAGGATGAGTATCGAATAGGGTCATGTCATAAGAAGTAAGTGTTCTTAGATAGCGCTATGATCAAGTGTGATCCCAATCCATTTATATATCTGGTTTATGTATGTCTTAGGTTCATTTTAAAGATTTCATTAGAGTAACTTTGAGTAATCTTTTGAGAAATTATTTTTACTTAAACAGTTTCCACCTGGTATATTAGAAATCTGGCATATAAAAACCTTCACGCAGTGCCATCTCAGTTATGCTGAGGCATTCAAGTCCACTGTTTCTTGACAGGTGCAAGTGGCATGAAGAAAATGATATACTCTTCTGTGCTCTTGCTGTTTGCAAGAAGATCGCGTAAGTAAGAAAAAGGGGGTTTCTATGAGTGCTGCACTTCTGGTTTGGAGTCATTGGTGCCATTTTGCCTGCCACCGCTTTGGCAGTTGGGGAGAATCACTGTTCACTCCTATTTGAACAATTCTCTTTTAAAACAAATGTTGCTTTTTACTTCACATTACCTTTATTCTAAAGTCAGCATCACTACTTATCTGGTGTAGTTACCACCTGAGCCATTTGGGTGAGCCTTAAGCACTTAACTAAAATTTTCTTTCTAGAACTCCTGTAGACCCCTGAAGTTGCCTGCCATTAAAAACACCTCCTCCTTGTGATTGTGTTAAAAATACAGGCTCTTCTTCTCTACACTCAGGAGTCTAAGACTAAGGTCTCTGGGAACCCCTCTACATGGCAAATGATTGGGTGTTTATGGTTGTAGTTTTACTGTGTTCGGCCCAATCCCTGCTGTAAACATTTGGCCATCCTGGTTATTCTTGTTCCAACCCTCTAATATCTGTGTTTTCATAAGCACTAATAATTATTTCTGTCTCTTCTCTGATTCTCTAAATTTTTGTATTTCCTGTCTTTAGAAGCTTTATCTTTTTTTGTTTGTTTTTAATGTGAATGCATTGCACCAAATTAGATAAGGTTCCATAAGTGACCTTTTCTTAATTCCTCTTAAAGGTACTGCATCAGTAATTCTCTAGCCACTCATTTTGGAATCCAGCTCACAGAGGCTCATGTTCCACTCCAAGATTATGAGGCCAGTAATAGTATGACACCCAAAATGGTTGTGTTGGATGCAGGACGTTACCAGGTAAGGAGCTGCTGACTTTGGGGAGCTATTGATTTCTTGGGATTGGCATAGTCAATGTGGCCTGGGCCAACAGCAGCTATTGTTTCATTCTCCACTTCCTTTAAACATTTTTATAAAACCCATCATGGAATGTCAAACAGTTCTTAATTTTGTTGGGGCTTTTATGTTTTAAAAATTTTATGAAAATTAAAATGAGCAGTGTTCATATAAAACCTACCCAAATAATTTATTTCTAAAATTAAACATCTGAATGCAGGTAATATAAATATTTTAAGTATTTACTTTAAAAGTATGTGAGAGCTGATTAAGGATGTGATTAAAAGCTCTCTACTTTCCTGGTCACCTTGTTTCTTCCCTGCTACTAACGTCTGAGTAGGTCTTGTTACACTACTAAAGGCACAGCAGATGTCCTCCAGTCAGAATTCTGGAATCTCATTTCCGGCTCTGCCACATAAAGGCTGCATTATCTTCTATATACGTTACTTGAACTTTATGTTCTGATCCCTTAGCTGCAAAACAAGAACAATAGTTGGATTTAGTGGCTGTTAGTATTAAATGCAGCAATCCATAAATATACCAAGAACTCCATCTTGTAATATAGTAGTTAATAAATAAATGTTATCATTAGAAAACAGTAAAACGGTGACTAGAACACCCCTAAATAGAAAGGAACTGTTGATACTCCAAGTCATTCATTAGCCACGTGAAAAGGGGCAGTCTCAAAAGGTGTTTATACAGTGTGACTCCATGTATATGGCACTCTTGAAAAGATAAAATTATAGTGATGGAGAATAGATCCATGGTTTCTAGAGGTTGGGGAAAAGGGATAACATGAAGGGAGTGTTTGAGGTTCTGTATCCTGATTGTGGTAGTTACATAAATCTATACATGTGTTATAACTCCATAGATGTATAAACCCCCCAAAAGTATGTACTCTTTCCTTAATTATTCGTAGCTCAGTAGTTCTCAGTTGGGATTGTTTTCATCCCTACGGGGCTTTGGAGAGTTTAGGTTCAGAATTTACCATGTGTGGTGGGGTGGTTTAGGTGCTACTGGCATCTAGTGAATGGAAGCTAGGAATAATGCTAAAGACCCTACGGTGTACAGGTCAGTCCTCCACAACAAAGGCTTGTCCAGTCAAAAATGCCAGTGGTGTTGAGATTGAGAAAAACATACCTTAGATACCAGAACTAATCTCAGGATGCTCCTTTCATTGTTCATATCTGTCACTCCAAAAAAGTCCAGGACTGCAAGAGCCCCCTTTTTTTCCCATCCTCTTTTTGTATGGATGATCACATTTCCCTGCTTGCCCCATTCCTGAAAAACCTTCTACTGGGTCTTCCTAGCCTCACTGTTTTGTTTTGTTTTTTTCAGGTGACATCTCTCATTTCTCATGAGCCTAGATTTGAGGTAATTGTTTCTTGCTTATTAATATTACAGTTTTCAGAGTTCACTCTACATAGGCTTCAAATTGTATACCATTCAGGTTGTATTACCTGATACCCTCTTTTTGAAGTCCATAGATCCCGGGATTGGCCCTCTATTCTTGGAGTTCCTTGCTCTGTGTTAGTCTGAGTAGACTAGAGAAACAAATTCATGGACGCTCCTGTGTACAAGAAAGAGCTTTATATACAAGAGCAGTTGAATATTGAGAAAACATCCTAGCCCAGTCCAGAAGACAGAGTCTCCCACCTCTAAGGAGGAATACAGGAGTTCCCAGAATCCTCAGCAGAAGGCCATACTCACACAGAGGCCTCATTGGGCTATGACCTGATTGAGAACCTGGACTCTACCTCTTCACTCTGATCCTCAAATTGACACCAGATTATGTAACTACCACATACTCTTAACAGTAATTTGTCCTGACTCTTTGTTTTAGTTTCCCCGTGGATAATTGTTCTAACACCTGACCTCTCAGTTCTTTGATTTCTCCATGGCACCTCCTCCATTATTTCAGGGTCAAGCATCTTCCTTGCTATTGTTATTTCACTCTAGTAAACCAGTGTCCACAAGTCTTTGACCCTGACTGGAAACTACAATTCATTTATGCCTCCTTTGTTTTATACTCCCATATAATTTCATACTTTCTTTCTCTGCAGACTTCTTTTACCTTATCTCTCACCCTTGCTCTAGCCATTACCCTTGGTGGCCAATTTCTCTAAGACAATAAAAATAATTGGGGTAGTTTTCCCACATGTCCCTGCCACTGCATCTGCATTCATCTATAACCATATACTCTCCCTTTACTCTGGTTTTAATGAGTGAAGGATCTATTTTCTTATTTAAGACCAGTCTATTTATATATCAGATCTTACCTCTATCTACTAAGGGACATGACTCAAATATGTTTCAGTTATTTCCTGCATCAGGGTTTCTCCCTTTCTGAATCATTTTCATCTGCAGCAAAAATGCTATGCTATAATTTTGTCTTTTGTTTTTATTTTTTTATATCGAGCCCTTTCCTGACCCTGTAATTCTCTTCTAAAGACTACCTATTTTTCTGCTCTCCTATTTAGCAGCACTCTGTAAGAGTACTCATTATTCTTTAGTTTCTCTCCTCCCATCTTGAACTCATTCCCAGATGGGTTTTGTCCCCACCACATCACTGAAACAGTTCATGTCATTGGGACCAGTTACCTCCACATGGCTGAATCTAACTGTCGGGCTTCTTTGAATTGGACCCAGCAGTAGAATTGACCAGTTGATCACACCTTTTTCCTTGAAACATTGTACATTTGGCTTCCAGAACAGCTTCTTATTTTCCTGCTATTCTCATTTGCCAAAGCTCCCAATTGTTTTTTGTTTGCTGGTTTGTTTCTGGCTCATATCCTCAATCTCAAATATTGGATTGTCCAGAGTTCTTAGACATGTTCTTTATAAATAAGAAGTCCTCCCTAGGACTTCATCTTTTACTCTAGCTTTATTGAACACCTATTTCTGATGACTCTTAAATGTGTACCTCTAAACTAGACCTTTACCATTAAAAGCCATCTTATATATTCAACTACTTCATGTCCTCTTGGCTATTTAATAGACAATTTACAGTTAACAATTTCAAAGCCAAACTCCTGATATTCCCTCAAAAAGGGAAAAGAACAAAAAAAACTTCCTTCACTCTTCCCCAGTTCATTAAATGACAGTTCTCTTCTTAATTGCTTAGGCCCAAAATCTTTAACAATCATCCTTCACACATTTCTCTAGCTTAAATTATACATAAACAGAATTCAATCATTTTTCACCACCATCATCTCCACAGTTATTATCCTGGTTCAGCCTCTGCAGCAGTGTCATACTTTCCTAGTTCTGCTGTAACAAACAACACCCAGATAGGAGCCTTTAAAGAGCAGACATTGTCTGTCTCATAATCTCGAGGCTAAAGATCTACATTAGAAAGGGAACCACAAGAGAGCTAAAGTCAATGGTGAGGAGGGCATAGACTGCCTGGTGGGGTTTGATCAAGTGCAGTGTAGCCAATAGGAATTACAGAGAGCCAAATGAAGGTTGAAAGAATAGTGGGACAGGAGGAAAGTAAAAGGACATAAAGGAAAGAACTAGGAGGCAAAAGACATTTATAGAGGTATAAACATAGGCATGTACATATATACTTATATAATGATAGGGATATATGTATATATACATATATTATAGCTTAAGTATTAAGGTAGCAGACAGACATTGGGCCTCTGCTCAAGTCCTCCCTCAACCCAAGAACACATTCTAATAGCATGGCATTCTGTGATAATAACCTGGCATTGTGTGATGCTCACTGCTCTGACACGATCACTGAAGACAAAATGGGTGCATAAGCTATAAGCTAATGTGAAGAAAGTTGATGGTGCCTGGCTATTGCAAAATATACCATCTGGGGTCTTAAAGGCTGGAAGATAAACAAGCGGCCATCTAGCTGGGAAGCAACAAAGTCTACATGGAAGAAGCATGCCAACTCATATGATCACAAGGGGTTGATGGGATCATGTATCAGGCATCAGAAGACCCAAAACAACCATTTCTATGTGAATGAGGGCGATTTGAGTGGAGACCCAAAGTCCATCTGTAGAAATTGGACATCCCCTCACAGAACGGTCACAAGGAAGGAATGAGCCAACCAAGGTGCAGTATAGAACTGATGAAACACGCAACATTCCTCTAGTTCAGTGGTTCTCAACCTTCCTAATGCCGCAACCCTTTAATACAGTTCCTCATGTTGGGGTGACCCCCCGAGTCATAAAATTATTTTCATTTGCTACTTCATAATTGTAATTTTGCTGCTGTTATGAATTGGACCACCCCTGTGAAGGGGTTGAGAACCACTGCTCTAGTTCTTTAGCGCCCCTCCCTGTCCCCCCATGACTCTAGGCCTGCCTTTCAGTTCTGGCTAGACCAGAGCATGTACACTGGTACAGATAATAGCTCTTGACACACCGGCCCCAGGATATATAAACCCCTCAGAACCAATGAGAGTAGCGATACCTAAAATAATTTATAAATTATCAGTGGTTCACAAGAGTGGGGGAGGGAGGGGAAGAAAGGGCTCAAGTAAAGAAAATGTTTTAGAAATGATGATGACAACATATGTACAAATGTGCTTGATGAAATTTATGTATGGATTGTTATAAGAGCCCCCAATAAAATGATTTGTTAAATTTTTTTTTTAAGATCCAAATTAGAGCCTCATCTGTGTCTGTTTCTTTTGGGGCCTTGCTCTAGTTTCTGGTGTCCAGTGGCAAGTAGACAAGTGCTCACATAGTGTATGTTGTATGTATGTGTGTCTCTGTCTATTCGGCTCTTTTTATAAGCTACCACTTACGGGAGGGGGTGGGGAGGAAGAGGAAAAATGAGAAGCTGATACCAATGATGAGAATGACGATGGCAACAAATGTACAGGTGTGCTTGACACAATGGATGTATGTGTGGATTGTGATAAGAGTTGTACAAGCCCCCAATAAAATGATTAAAAAAACCCAGACAGTTTAGGACCCACTCTGCCCTGGTATGATTTCATTAACAAAAGAAACCCCCTGTTTCAAAACAGGTCATATATACAGGTATAGTGGTTGGGTCTACAAATCGCTTTCATAAGGAACACAGCTCAGTCCATAACAAAGGTAGTCATCTAGTCTTATTTCCTCTCTGCTTCCCTCTAATCTATTGTCAGCATAGTAGCAAGTGTGACCCTGTTAAAACCTATGACTCCTCTGATACAATGACTCCTCTGTTCAAACTTCAACTTTCTAATCTCACTCAAGTAAAAGCCCAATTCTTTACAATGACTGACAATGTTCTACATGGTTTAACCTTTTGCTGCCTCTTGGACCTCCCACTCTGCCTTCTCCTCACTGCATCACAGCCTGTGAGCCTTCTTGATGTGTCTAGAGAAGGTCGGACATACGACGATCTGAAACTCTTCATTGACAGCAGCATTGTCCTCCGTCATACATTCATGACTTGTTCCCTTACCTTTGTTTTCAGGTTTTGTTTGTTTTGCATAGAACTCTGCCCAAATACCGTTTTGGGTGAGACTTCCATAGATAACTGTATTTGAAACAACTACTTTATTTTTCTCCTTGGTACTTGTATAGTATCTACCAGTAGTTATTTTGTTTATTGTTGGTCTCCGCTGACTAGCTTTTCAATTCCTTGAGGATTATTATGTTTCGTTTTGATTTTCATTTCTTAAAACAGGCTAGTAATTTTACCTGATAAGTAAATATTAATTAAGTGAATGAATAAAGACTGTATTCAGTGACAGGTAGTTTGTATACACTTTAACTTCATCATTGTAGTGAAAAGCATAGATTCTGAAGTCTGCCCCTGCAAGGGTTTGTAGAATTGTCTCAATTTCATGAGTTGTACTTGGGAAAGTGCTTAATCTTTGTTCCTTCATCGAAATAAAGGGTGCCTCCCTCAAAGGTATGAAGATAATCTATAATGATTACATAGTGCTTGATACTTAGTAAGCATTGAATAAAGATAGCTAATGCTATTATTCTTGCTTGCTAAAAGCAAGGAGGACATGAAGCACTTGCTGATGAAGAACAGGATTTCAGCCTTCAGTGTGGATTACAACTCAATGTGAAGAAGATCAGAGTTCTCACAACTGGACCAACAGAGAAAGCATCATGATTAACAAAATATCTAAGTTGTCAAGGATTTCATGTTGTTTGCGTCCACGGTCTATGTTTATGGAAGCAGTAGTTGAGAAATGAAAGATGAAATGCATTGGGCAAACCTGCTATGTAAGACCTCTTTAAAGTGAGGAACAAGGCTGTTCCTTTGAGGACCAAGGTGTATCTGCTCCACGCCATAGTCACTCCATATGCATGTGAAAGTTGGACGATGAGGAGGGAAGACTGCAGAAGAGTCGATGCGTTTGAACCGTGCTGGTGGTGAAGAATATAGTACTGTGGAATGCCAAAGGAACAAACAAACCTATCTTGAAAGAAGTGCAGCCAGAATGCTTCTTAGAAAGGAGGATTGTAGGGCTGCTCCTCACATACTTTGGACATGTAATTAGGAGATACCAGTCCCTGGAAAGGATACCATGCTTGGTAAAGTAGGTCTGTGATGAGCCCAAATGCTTTCAGTAACGGAAGGCATTTTAAATAAAAACTTAAAAACTTTTGTGGAGGAAATTCGTAGTTTGAATCAATTACTAGGACATTGTCTAAAAGGTGCTGGGTTTGGTGGGATACGGCTCATTTCTTCAGATTGATGTAGTATATGGACTTTCACCAGATGGCAGTAGGGGATAAAAGTGGGACAGCAGCTTCCCAATGAACTCCAGAAGTGCAAATGTAATGATGGTTTCTATATGTCTAATGGGTCATGAAAGGGTTACGCGAAGTTACTATTCTAACAATCCTCCAAAAAATATATTTTTAACATTTTAAATGACTTACGGAGATGGAAGTGACATTTAAGCTGAATCCTAATGTCTGTGAAATAACAAGTGACTTAAATTTTAACATAAGGAACTTGTTTATCTATAAAATTTAAGGTTGATCAGGTATTGAGGAAATATTT